GAGCTTAAAGCCCCTGATGGCTCTGGGCGCTGACTCTCACCAGTGGCTATGGATGAAGTCACAGGCGATTTTCAGCCAGCGCCGTCAAATCTGTCTTGAGAAAGTGCAACCAGGATGCTCTTTAGAGGCAAGCGTGGTAAACCTTTGCCTCACATGTTCTGGTCATGTTGTTAGGAAGGGCCAGTCCTTGGAAACTGACCTCATGCTTGCAAGGGTGGAGGGTCAGCAAAAGAGAAGAGCCTCAATGAGACAGACTGATGCAGTAACTGTAACCAAGGGTTGAGTGCATCACATATGATGAGGCTGGCACAGGATAGGACAGGGTTCAGAAGCCTTGTACAGAGAATGGCTAGGAGGCATTATCTACTTGACACCTAACAACAATAGAAGAAATTCAGACTTCCGTAGTAGACACAGTGTTAGCATTTTTTTTTCTGTTTAATCTCTGAACTCACTTTTTATCTGATGGTCAACCAGGTGGATTGACACAGTGACTGTTGCAGTGGGCTGGAGCCTGTCAGAGATGCTGAGGCTGTGAAGGGAGGGGCAGGGCTCACCTCTGTTGTTCACAGGATTCCTGAGAGTCAGAGTTGTCTTTACTGCACACAACAACAACACTCAGTTGTACTAGGGAGCTCTGGTGGCCTAGCCATAAGAAGCTGAGCTGCAATCCCATAGGCCCATGGTTCAAATCCTTCAGCTGCTCCAAGGCAAAAGGATGGGAAATCTTCCATGTGATTTACTGCATCTGAAAACCCATCAGAAGGTCAGCTATGAGTCAGTTCCAACCTGCTGGCAACCACAGGCAGCTCTGGCGACCTCGTGTGACGACCTCGTGCGTAAGAAGTTGTATTGCCAACCAAGTGCAGGTGGTTTGAATCCACCAGCTCCTCAAAGGAAAGATACACAATCTCCTTCCATGCCACTCCTGCCTCAAAAAACCCACACAAGGGTCAACTATGAGTCATACCTTTCTCAGCGGCAGTGAGTGGAAGCAAGTTGAATTGGCCAGTTGTACTGTGTCAATGCTATTACCAAATTCTGAAAGTTTAAAAATTTAAAGACAAATATATTTTCTTTAGCTGAGCTGTGATCAGTAACTCTCTGAAGCCAATAAGAAGCCACCTCTAAGGAGAGAGGGAAGCCTTTTCTCTGTGGTGGAGAGACCTTCCTGAAGGCCTGAGGTGTGGTATGCTGGGAGCACCTGGCAACAGGTGAAGGTGTGTGTTAACCTGAGGTTTAGTAATAGAAACCAATGATTTCTACTTGTGAAGTCCAAGTAATTTCCCAGAGAGTTGTAAAAACGTATGGGAAACATATCTTTTTTTTTTCTCCTTCAATTTGTCTATTTAAAAATCCCAGCCATTCAACATGTCATGAACTATTATTATACAATGAAATGTTTAAAATAGCAAGTGTAGTCTTGAACTTGAGCTGAACTTTTTAATGGAAAAAATTATTTTATAGAAGTAGTTGATCTAGGTTTTTCCCTAACCCTTAGTAATACCTTAACTTTATCAGCTTCTAAAATTAAACTCATACTGTCTGGAATCTTTTTTATTCAAGATTTACCTAATTTGAACGACAATAAGAAACATTGCTGTGTGAAAACAATTAACTTCATTAATTATAGCTCAACTTTTTTCTCAGAAAGAATTTTAAGCTTGTATTAATCTACTGGTAATCTTGTGGGTTTAATATACTATCAGCTAAATTAAGAGTGTTTGAACAGAGTACAAACATATACTGAGAGGCTTAGCTTGGACTTAATTCAGGGCCCTTCCAGTTGTCATGTGCCCTTAAGTCAGAACCCACCCTTACCTGACTCAGAGGCAGTAAATGACACAGGAGGAGACTGCCCATCTTTCTTGCATGGAGCAACCAATGGTGGATTCGAACTGTGTATCTTTTGGTTGGCAGCACAGCTTCTTATGATTAGGCCTTCAGAGCTCCCTTTAAGCTCCTCAAACTAGTAAGAAGCCATGGGGGGAAGCATGTCCTCAAAATCACAGGGGTTATCAGTTCTAAAGGGAGAGGTTTTAGCCACTATTTTTATGAAGTTTATTGGAATGAAAACCAGAGAAAGGCATCTAGAGCATTTTGTTGCGTGCAGAGACGAAGCGAGTTTTCACACCTGCTGACAGTGTGACAGTAAGTGCTCGTGCCTTGCATGGGAAGTCTCCTCTCAGGGTAGAAGGCCTTTGCTGGTTCTTTGACCAGGGCAATGTTTCTGTCTTTAGAGTCCTGAAGAGAGAGCCCAGCACCAGCATGAGCACTATCAGAGATAAAGGAGTGATGATAGAACTCTGCTTGCCAAAACTGAGGTGGACCTCAAGTGTTTGCTGCAGAAGGTCAAGGACTGCAGTCTTCAATATGGACTGAAGCTCAACATCAACAAGACAAAGATTCCCACTACTGGGCCAGTTGGCAGCACAACGATGGATGGAGAAGAGATTGAAATTAACAGTTTCAGCTTGCTCGGCTCCACAATCAACACTCTTGACACCAGCAGTCAGGAAATCAAAAGACATTTGCATTGGGGAAGTCGGCTGTACCTCTCCAGAGTACTGAGAAGCAATGGTGCCAGTCTAGAGATGAAGGTGTGCCTAATCCAGACCATGGTCTTCGCAGTTACTTTCTATGCATCGGAGAGCTAAGGATGACTTGGGAAAAAATCAATACCTTCGAGTTGTAGTGCTGGAGAAGAAACTTGAACATACTGCGGGCCTCCAAGAAAACAAATAGGACTGTCTTGGAAAGGGTGAAACCAAGTTTCTCCTTGGAGATAAGGATTTTGAATCTCTGTCTCACATACTTTGGTCATGTGGCCAGGAGAGACTGATCCTTGGAGAAGGACATCATGCTTGGAATGGTGGAAGGACAGCACACGAGAGGAAGACCCCACATGAGATGGATTGATACAGTAACTGGGGCAATGGGGGTTAGTGTATCGGAATTAGTGAGACTGGCTCAGGACAGGGCAGGCTTCAGAGCTGCTGTACACAGGGTCACTATGAGTCACAGGCAACTCAACGGCACATAACAACATGAGAGAAATACCAAAATGGATGACTCTGACAAACAAAAATAGCTTTTCTTACAATTTGCTTCCAGGAGGCTCGAAGACCAAATTCATGGCACTGGTTCTCAAGGAAGATGCGAATCCTTTATGCATCTGTACCCTAACCCTGCCTTGGAGATTGCATTCATCTGCATGACATTCTTCCCTGGGTCCAGGAGGGTCTCGGCTTGGGGACCCCAGACCCAGAGGACATACCGCCCCCAGCTTTGATTTCTGGGTAGTGGTCAGATCTCGGCTTCCTTGTCTCTCCGTTCTCGTTGTATCTGTTGTAAGATGAATGTGGTGGCTCAAGTGGAGTGCGTAACTTGGCTAACAGTGGTAACTGTAGGGAAAGTCAGCCTCTGGGAAGCCTATGATTCCCAATGAAACCTACCCCAACCTTGCCTTATTTACATAGTCATGCTAGAGTTTATACCTCAGTCACAAAATGACTTCATGCTGAGAATCACAGTCCAGCCAAGTGGACATATGTTCTGGGAACACACAAGTCAATCTAAGACACACTTGAATGTCAAGCTGTTTGACTTAAAATGTTAGACAGCATAGGGTGTACCTGACGAACAAGCAAATGTGAGGGGTGGAATCTCAGTGAAGTGTAGGAGTGACCCATCCTCCGAGACACTGCAGACCCTCCAGGTGGGATTCAGAAGCAAGAGAGCTGGTCGTGGGGGCCCCTCTGCCATTTCCCTCCACCCCCCTAGAGCATCCTCACTGAGGTGAATTCTGATTCAGATAGAGCAAATATGCACTGGACCCTGTCTGTGTAGCACATGCCTGGCTGGCCATCTATCTTAGCGGGTTTACCGATGTCTTTTTCATAGATAACACATGCTTTCTACATTTGTTTGCCAACTTTCCACTCCTTTTGTGGAATATTTGCATAAGCACTATTATCTCCCTTTGGCTTTCCACACTGTAGCTGTAAACAAAGTTAACATATTTATAAAAATATCTCTCAGGAGTGAGTGATGGGAAAGTGAATGGAAAAGGTATGTGTTATCTGTGTAAAAGTACAGTATATGCTTAAGAATAGTTTTGCTGCTAAGTTTTTCTTTAAAAAAGATGCATGTTTGTGCTTACTTTTTGAGATCAAATTGTTAATAATAACTAAAAATGTGGTTAGAAAGCAGGGGGAAGTGCCTTCACATCACCAGAGAGGGACAACTGGGCAAGGAGATGGGCCCCAAGTGAAACGCATGCAGGGCCTCTGTGTAGTGCATGCAGGCGGTGGTTGGGGGTGGACGTGGGGGGTGGTGTGGGCGTGGTTAGAACCCAGTGACCGTATTAGCTGCAGAAAGTGAATGTTTAAATGCACGACAAATGTCTTCCCTTGCTGTGTAGACACAGGGAACATGGAGGTGCTGCATCTGTACGGGAGTAAGGAGCAGAAGCAGCGGTGGCTCGAACCCCTTCTGCAAGGGAACATCACCTCCGCCTTCTGCATGACAGGTGAATGCACTCCCCCTCCCTGTGATGGACAGGT